TCTCCTCTTCCTCTACCCTTGAACTTCTCAAGAACAGCCTTCCGTCTTACTTGGGGTAGAATCCAATCCCTTCTCAGGACCCCTTGGGTCCTTTTTATAGAGAAGGAATGATAAGTTTGGTATTAGAGAGAAAGAGAGGGGCGACAAATGGTTTTTTGTAGAAATATGGACACCCTAGGGTTGAGAATGGAGGGTTAGGATTTTTTTAAGGTGGTCCTAAGGCTAAGAAGAGAAGGAGAGGGCGCCCAGAATGGAGGGAGTAGATTTGGGCGCCTAGAGCTGGAGAAATGTGATTGGTTGGTGTGATGTGGCGCCCTAAGGTGATTGGTTGAGGTTTGAGGAGTGAAGTGTAAGGGTATGGGGGGCTGCTAAGGCTTGGTTGGTTGAGATTAGAGGTTAGGAGAGAGTGAGGGTGGAGATTTAGCTGTTAGGGGTGGCTAGGGTTTGTTAGAGGTGAAAAGAATGAGTAGGGAGGCGCCCTAGGGTTTGCTAAGGAGAGAGGAGTATGTTAATACAGTAGGAGGGGCGACTTTATAGGTTTAGTAGATAGGAGGTGCCCTCCTGTGCTCAGTTTTTCACAGAAACACCCCTCTCTTAGCTGGAATTCTCACCAGCTTCCCAAAATCTGCAGAAAACTCGGTAAATTTTCTAGTTTTTTACCCAAAATTTGCACAGGGACCCTTAGAGGTGACAATATTGAACTTAAATGGAAAAAGGGTATAGATTAGCCAGTCTAAGGTCTAAAATACCTCAACTTAACCATTGCTAGTCTCTTAGCAATGCAGTCTTAAAATTACATTGAATAGAGAGATTATTCCCATTGTAAGATCATCCCTAACAAAATTAGCTAAGTATCCTGATTCCAAAATTCTCAAACTTTGTATGGATCAGTATTGGGAGGCAAGGTGACGTGGCTATTGGTTAAGAGCTCGATGATGTTGCAAAATGAGGGGCCTAGGAAGGATGAAGGCAAACCTGTACTGATCTGAATTTGTTATGTTTATTTTTCAATATTTTAAAATTAAAATTAAAATTAATACTTTCTACTTTTATTAAATTTTAATCTTTTAATAAATTGTTATTGATTCGTAATTTAAGTAATGATATTATGCTTAGTCTATTATTGTTTAAAATCTTTGATAATGTTGGAATTTTTTATTATAAATTAATTACAATATTATTGGAATTAATTTTAACAATTGTTATTGTTAAAATTAAAAATAGTAACTTATTTTTGAATTTTCTATTATGTTAATCAGTTTAAATTTGAAATTAAATTCTATCACTTTATAATTATAAAATTATTATAATTAATTATTAGATTTTATTACTTTAGTTTTATTATTTGTCTTATTATCTTATCTTATTTATTTTTTCTCTTAATAGTATTTTATATATCTTTTACTCATCTTACTTTAATGTTTAAGTTAAACTGTTTAAAAAAAGCTTTTGACTTGAACATTAATATTTTAACATTGTAATGAAAAATTAAATGCATATCTTTGGAAGGTAGAGACTTCAACAATTGAAATCAAGTTGACATTCCGAACTAACAAATGAAGTAAGTTTGGTCATTTTTTTACATATGTGAACAACACTAATTTGGACAAATAATATTAATTATATAATATTAATAAAATATTATATATTATATAATATTTTATATAATATAATATGTGTTATGGTTAATCGCATCATGGCATAACATGATTTTCACTAATTTTCTAATATACAAAGATTTTTTTATCCCATTGTGGCATAAGACATTATTTTGATAGATGTGTTTTATTATTATTTTCAATTTGGCAACATTTTGTTTTTCATTGATTTCTCAAAACATAATGGATTGTGGATGGCGTCACGACATCAAACATTTTTTATTGATAGTTATCTTTTATTATTAATCGCATCATAGTATAATGTAATTTTTTCATAATATCTTGGAATCCARTGGGTTGTTGATTGCATAATGGCATTACTCATATTTTATCTACAGTTGTTTTTTATTGTTAATTGAATTATAACATAACATGACTTTCGATTTCTTAACATACATTGGATTGTTGATTACTCTGTGGCATATTTCATATTTTATTGGTAATTGTCTTTTATTCTTAATCGCATTATAGCATAACATGTTTTTATTAATTTCTTGACATATAGTTGATTATTGATCACATTACGTCTAATGATTTCCACTGATTTTTCCAATATAATAGATTGTTTATTGTATAACACATTTTATTGACACTTGTCTTTTATTGTTAATTGCATCATAGCATAACATGATATTAGCTGATTTGTTGGTACACAATAATTGTTGATTGCGTCGCGACGTAACGCATATTTTACCGATAATTTTCTTTTATTGTTATTCACATCATGAAATAACATAATTTTTGCTAATTTCTTGATTTATAGTAGATTGTTAATCGCTTGGTAGCATAACACATTTTATCAATAGTTATCCTCTATTATTTATCGTATAATAACATAAGACGACTTTCACTGATTTTCTGTTATATAGTGAATTATTGATCACTTCGCAGCATAATGCATATTTTATTGATATTGGCCTTTTATTATTTATTGTATCATGAAATAACATGATTTTTATTGGTTTCCTTACATGCAATATATTGTTAATCTCTTTATGGTATAATACATTTTTAATAGTTGTTTTTTATTATTAATCGGATCATGGGATAACATGATTTTTACTGATTTTTCGGTATATAGTGGATTAATGATTGCATTATGGGATAACACATACTTTATTGATAGTTGTCTTTTATCATTAATCGCATCACAATATAACACAATGAATTATTTATCGCATCGCAATATATCACAAATTTTATCAATGATTGCTCTTCATTTTTAATCGCATCATAACAAAACATGATTTTCAGGAACGTAATTGATTGTTAATCGCATTGATAATTGCCTTTTATTATTAATCACATTATAGTATAACATGATTTTAGATGATTTTTTGACATACAATGGGTTGTTAATTGCATCACAGCATAACACATTTTATCGATATCTTTTATTGTCGATTAGGGGCGTATCGAGCGAATCGATACCTTTTTCTTTTTTTTTTTACTTTTTTTCTTTACTTTTTTCAAAACCGGTTCAGAGGGCCCGTTTAGGACTCCACCTCTTGAACCGATTAGACCCCGATACACCCACTATAGGGGCATATCGGAGGGATCCCGAATGATACGTATCGATCGATACGAGCCGATACTTTGAACCTTGGTGGCAACATTATTTATTGATCAATACCACTATAACAAACACCCCCAAGATTGCCAAGCGTGATTATAGTAGAATCTTCCACTAATAACTCTATGCAGTTCTTGCCATTGTCAAGCTTATCAAAATAATATAATGCATGAATTGTAACAATATGCTTTCATCATTTTGTTTACTACTTGTTTTTTTTTGTTGTTTACTAGTTACTTTGTATTAATTTTCTATTTGTTATTTTATGATTGTATCCGAGCATCACAAATTAATATTCAACTTGTACAAACCAATGCTCCATAATACAAACTGATATATGCACACACACACACATACATCGTAATTGGTCAAAATGAATGACATGTAGGGGTGTTCACAATTCGGTTAACTGAACAGTAGGGTGATTTTTTGGATCGAACCGATTTATTCGGTTTTTACATTTAATCGAACCAATGCAATCGGTTAACCGACTGACCGGTTAACTAGTGGACCGATTAACCACTGTTTGGTTTTTCGATTTTTTTTATGCTCTTAAAATAAATAAAAAAAGAAACTACAAGATAGAGAGAGTGGGAGACTGAGAGAATATTGCCGAAGCAAGAGGGGTCGCCTCTGATGTCGGAGGGCAGAGTGCCGAAGGCTGTTGGCGTCGGTCCATTGGGGAAGAACGAAGAGAATTGGGAGAGTGGGAGTCAAAGAGTGAGAATCCGAAAGAGAGAGTCAGCTGTTGTGGAAGCTAGAAGGATCGCCATTTGCTAGTGTTGCCAAAGGAGGGATCGCCGAAGGCCGTCGATGACTTGATCAGAGCGTCAAAGGCAGTCGCCCATTGGTCCATTGGGGAAGAACTAGGACTGGGAGAGACCAGAGAGTGGGAGTCTGAGAGAGACAGAGAGTGAGAGTCGAGAGAGCTCAGAGAGAGAGAGAGAGAGGAAAAGATTAACAAAGGAGATGGCTGTTTGGCTTCACCAGTCTAGCTGCCAGTTTACCACTGCCAAACTGGCAAACTGAAAATCTAATAAATGGCATCAAATGCAACCTAAAAAGTCTCAGTTCGCATTTATTAGATTTTCAAAAATAAAACAAATATATATTGTATATATCAGTCAGTTTGATTAACCGTTTTTTTAAATGGTTAACCAAAACTGAATCAAAACTGTCAGTTTGAAAATGTCAAACTGAAACCGAACCAACCGATTCGGTTAACCGATTTTTCAATTCGATTTTGGTTGGTTTTTTCGATTGGTTCAGTTTTTCGGTTTTTTTTTTTGCTCACCCCTAATGACATGTGCTTAAGTTTTGACTTTCAAAGCCAATTTTATCAAAATTTTCTTATTAATATTATATCAATGAAAAATTAAAAGAGAAATAACTAATTGATCATTAAAATTAGTATTTTTTTTATTTAAGCCATATTTTAATCGCTACCATTTCCCAACATTTCCTTAGCTACCACTTCACATAAACTATTAAAACATATACATAGTTTTAATATGTGTATGTACCTTGTTTATATTTATTTGATACTAGATTTATTGATGTATTTTTGGGTTTTATTTAAGTTTCCTTAGCCCTTAGGCTATGTTTGGTTTGAAGGAAAAGGTAGGGAAAAGAAGGGAAAGGTAAGGAAACTCATACAAGGTTTGTAAAGGTTTCCCTACCTTTCCTTTCCTTTCCCTACCTTTTCCTTCAAACCAAACACAGCGTTAGGGTACCCATGCACACCTTACCTTTTCCACTGTATCCATGCATGTCCAAAGTATATTCCAATACATCTCTTAGAAATTTCCTTTCCAACACTTTTTGCATTTCAATACTTTAAAACTTGAATAGCCTACCCAAAATAAAAGTTAAAAAAAAAAACCATGAATACATCAACATGAGATAAATAACAACATATTCAAAAAATGTTGAATTGGGAAAATAATCCCTGAGATTTAAGGGTTGAGATGTTTATCTCCTCTTTACAGCTTCCTAGTTGACGCTGTTAACAGACGAATACCGTTGCTAATCCACACTGAGATTTGATCTTTTGGGTATCAGATGAACTGCTTTAAGAACTCTGTTGCCACAAGTCTTCCCCGTGTATTAACAGACAACTTCAACTCACTTATCTCTTTATCAATATCCTGCATTTTGGTAGATATATTTGTGAATCATTTATAGCAAGAAAAAATAATAATAGCAGATTAAATAACAAAACAACAGTAATAATTGCACAAGGACATCAAGAGCAGAAAAAATTTTTAGAGGGAAATCTATAAAGCATTAAGCATCTTTTTTTCTCTCTAAACACTATACATTAAGCATCTTTTCAACTCAGAAATCTCTAGGAGACTTGGTAAACCACACTAGCCTTCAAGAGCAGCAGCATATTGCATTCTATATCTTCTATCGAGTTTCATTGGATGTAAGAACCCTCCAAACCTAGACTACCAGATGATATTCAAATTGATGCTCAAAAGAGTAATGGTGCTCCTCTACATAGTGAGGATGCCATATTCTGCAAACCATCAAATTTTACCTTCTTCCCATGGGGAAATGCCCCCATTATGTGTTTTGGACAGAAAATCTAGAAGCATGCTTTGTTGTAGTAACTCTTATCCTCATGAATTAATTTCCTGGTGCTGTTTTGCAACTAAAGAAATTCAAATAAGAGATTCCTCTTTCTTGCTCAATGCCTTGGTTAGCAAGGGCACAAGCCTCTTTATAAACATGAGAGAGAGAGAGAGAGAGAGAGAGAGAGATTTCCCACTAATTTCCTGAAGGTAACTACCCCTTGCATTCTGAACTACACCTTACACCTCTAGGTAGTGGAATGCCTTGTGTGATGCTTCATGGAGACTGTTAGGTTCCCCACTTATATTTATAATCAGCTAATAAAAGATAAAATTACATCAAAGCCCCTCATAGGGGAGCTGCAGCTGAACTAAATAATAAGGCCCATTTAAGCTCATTAAGAAAAGAAAGAACGTGGACAAGCATAATAACTTGTAGTTTCAACTTGACTACTCTGTCAACATTCCCCTCAAGTTGGGAATAGAGATGCCCATTCCCAACTTGGCAAGAGCACTTTGAAGCTTCAACAAAAGTACCCCTTTAGTGAACATATCTGCTAATTGTTGATCCATCTTCAATCTCCACACATACAGGGGACAAAGTTCACCAATCATCACTCTCTCACTAATAAAGAATCAAAAGTTCCTCCAAGCAATCCCTAACTCACCAAGCAAGGACTACAACCACAAAGTCTCAGATAAATCATGTACCAAGGATTTCAGCCTCTACACTAGAACGAGCAACAACTAACTACTTCTTGCTCTTCCAAAGACTAAGTTGCCTTCTACAAGAACACAGAAATCAGATGTGGACCTATTGTTATCAATTGAAACAACCCAGCCAACATTAGTAAACACCAAACTGACCAAGTAAGCAATATCTAGTTGAGTCATGCACAAGTATAAAAGTTGGCCAAGCAACCTATAATTCATACCCCAATCAGATAGTAACTCCCCCTCTAATACAAGATTAGGAGGACTGTACCTAATCTTGATTCTATCATGGGAAAGCTTCTTAGAGAAGAAACAAAAATGATTACTTAGTCTACCATTGATGGGAAGCATGAAACTGGTGCTGAAACTGTCCTTGATAACAAGTCCAAACTCAAAAAGGGCTTCTCTCGGGTTCAGTGTTAAGGAATTTGGCCACATGGGTTCCCACTGCAAAAACAAGAATACTTGTACCTACTGTAAACAACAAGGACACATTATCACTGAGTGTCCCACTTGGCCAACTAAGGGACACACATCAGCCCCAAAGAAGAATCAACACAAAGTCTATCAATCTACTCTTGAGGGTCTAGATGATATACCTGTTTCTTCCCAATCTTTAGCTAAGGGAGAATCCTCTGGTGTTTTGACTGAGGAATAGATGCAGCAATTGGTATCTACTGCATTTTTTTGTGTTTTCAGCCATTGGTTTGTCTGGTAAGTCATTACATCATTGTCCTAACCCAAGCCTTCTTTTGATAATTGATTTAGGTGCCTCTAATCATATGACAGGAGCATATTCTGGTCAGTCTCTTAAACCTTTATCCTTTACTAAACACATTGTTATAGCCAATGGTGAAGAACTTGAAATCATTGGATGAAATGATTTGACTTTGCCAACATATGCTAGTTCTCATTTTCATCTCCATAAAACCTTTTTTGTCCCAAAACTTACTACTAATAATATCTGTTAGTTAATTAGTTGATGATGGTAACATTGTCTGTTTTTCTTCTGATGGTTGTTTAACCTGGGACCGGCACATTGGGAGTTTGGGACAGTGAAGCGGGAGGGGCTTGGATGGCTATTTGCTTTGGAAGTTGGGAGGACAAAGACACYATCTACCTCACCTTGTTTGCTTTCTAATGCTTCTAATTCTGATATTGTTTGCAAAAATAATGAGTGGCATCTTTGGCATAGACGTCTTGGCCATCCTTATCCTAAGAAACTAGAGTTTTTATTTTGTGATGGTTGCCTATCTTTTAAAGCTACTACTTTTGCTAATGTTGATAAGTCTTGTATTACATGTTGCTTGAGTAAGAGTCATGTATTGACATTTCCTTCTGTTGCTGAACATTCTACTGTTCCTTTCAAGTTAATACATAGGTTACAAATATTTTGTTCTTTTCACTGATGACTGCATTCAATTCACTTCGATCTATATTTTGAGAAAGAAATCAGATGTGCTTCCCTTATTTATATTTTTTCAGGCTTCTGTTAAGAATCAGTTTAATGCTACCATTGGTACTTTATGTTTAGATTCAGGGGGGAATACTATGTGGGGAGTTTGGAGAGTTTCAAACATATTTAAAAGAACAAGGAATAGTTTCTCAAAGGTCATGCCCACGAACTCCACAACTTGATGGGGTTGCAGAGCGTAAGAACGAACATATTTTGAGTGTTGTGAGAACCCTTCTCCAAGATTGTCATGTTCCTACGGCTAGCATTGTTGTGTACTTAATCAACTTACTCCCATCTTTTGTTCTTCACAACATCTCACCCTTTCAATGCTTATTTCATTGTCCACTAGACTTCTCTTCACCTTCCACCTCATGAACACACTAAGCTATCTTCTCAATCTATCTTATGTGCTTTTATGGGATATAATTCAAAACATAAGGGGTTCCTTTGCTATGATGCCTCTTCACATCGCATTCGCATCTCTAGGAATGTTATCTTTCTTGAGAATGTTTCTTACTTCCATCATATTGCAAAACTTCCTACTACTTCTATCTCTGTTTTGCATTCCTTTGATATTGTAGGTGCTTCCATCTCATATCCATCTATTCCTGCACATCTCCGACTTTATGCAAGAAGGCAAGCTACCATGCCTAAGCCTATCCTCTCCTCTTCTTTGCCTCTAGTTGTTGGTCCAGCACATCTTTCCACTGACACCATTTGTGCTCCACCTCCTCCACCTTGTGATTCCTTACTATCATCTCCTCCCCCTTTACGTAGCTCATCTCGTTTTTCCTAGCCTCATGATCACTATGGTTTCCCTACAGACCATTGTTCCTTTTCTACAATTTTGTCCCCTACAAATATTCCCTAAACTTATAATAGGCAGTGGTTGTTCTGCATTAAAAAGAAGCTATGGATACTGAGATACAGACTCTCCTTGAAAATGATACATGGGAGCTAGTTCCTACCCCTCCAGATGCTTCAATTATCGACAGTAAAAGGGTTTATTCAGTGAAGTTGAATTCTAATGGTAGGTACAAGGCCCGTTTAGTGGCTTAGGGATATAAGCAAGAATATGGGATGGACTATGAAGAAACATTTGATCTCGTGGTGAAGATGATAATTGTCCTTCTGATTTTGGCTATTTTTGCTATTAAATAGTGGAACATTCACCAAATGGCTATCAAGAATTCCTTCAAGGCCAATTGAAGGAAATAGTCTATATGAAGCCTTCACCCAGTTACTGTGATGATCCTAATCTAGTCTGTCATCTCAAGAGATCCTTATATGGTCTTAAGCAAGTGCCACGAGCCTAGTTTGAAAGGTTCCACAATGTTATTACTGATGCTGAATTTTCTCATAGTCCTTATGACTATTTAGTATTCCTCATGAAGCGGCCTCAAGGTCTCACACTTTTTCTTTTGTATGTTGATGACATTCTTATTACGTGGTATGACACTGAAGGAATTACTCTTCTAAAAAATATTCTGTGCCAGTCTTGTAATATGAAGGATCTTGGAAACCTCACATTTTCTGGGGTTGGAAGTCTCTCGCCTTCCTGTGGATACTTTATAAATCACCAAAAGTATGCCACAGATCTTGTGAAACTTGTCGGTTTAATTGATGACAAACAAGTTGATACTCCTCTTGAGGTGAACCTCTACATGATGCTACACTATATAGACAACTTGTTTGCAGTCCCATTTACTATGACCAGACAAGACATTTCCTATACTGTCCAAGTTGTTAGCCAATTTGTCTCCTCTCCCAGACATCCTCACATGACAGTTCTACGGATCATTTGTTATATACGGGGTTCCTTATCTCATGGACTGTTTTTCCCTTTTTCATCCCCCTTCCACTTGACTGCATATGCTAATGCTTATTGGGCCAGATGCCCTAACACTAGAAGGTCCATAAATGGGCTGTGTGTTTTCCTAAGAGATTCGCTCATTTCATGGAAGTGTAAGAAGCAACAGCCTGTTTCAAAATCTTCCATAGAAGCTGAATATCGAGCTGTCATTTGTGTGCAATGAAATGATCTGGCTCCATGCCAACAATGTTAGTGCCATCAAGATTGCCTCTAATCCATTCTTCCATGAGCACACCAAACACATAGAGGTTGATTACCACTTCATTAGAGACCAATTTCTTGCATGGCACATATCTCTTCCTCGTGTCACCTCCAGTCTTCAGCTGGCTGACCTTTTCACTAAGGCTATGTCTCGGGCTTTCCAACAATTCTTAGTTGACAAACTAATGCTTACCTCTTGGCATTAGTTGGAAGGGGGGGGGGGGGCTGTAGAGAGTGTATATCATAGGCTTAGGAGTATGGCTATATATTGTATTATAAGTATTGTATCATATGCAAGGTTCAAAGTTTCGAAACAGTCTGATATGC